AGGACCCCAGCGGCTCCACCATGGACTTGGTGCCAAGCTGCGTTTTCCTCCTGATCATTTCTCAAGGTCGTTCTCAGGAGTGGGGAGCGCTGAGACCTGTGCCTGTGCCTGTTGGTGCTTCCATGTGATTCTCAGTCCACCTTGTGTCTCTGTGTTTGCAGGTGTCCAGTGTGAGGTGCAGTTGGTGGAGTCTGTGGGAGGCCTGGTGCAGCCTGGGGGGTCTCTGAGACTCTCCTGTGCAGCCTCTAGATTCACCTTCAGCGACTATGGCATGAACTGGGTCCGCCAGGCTCCAGGGAAGGGGCTGGAGTGGGTTGCAAGCATTAGTGGTGATAGTAGTAACACATACTACACCGAGTCTGTGAAGGGCCGCTTCACCATCTCCAGAGACAATGCCAAGAACACGGTGTATCTGCAAATGAGCAGCCTGAGAGCCGAGGACACAGCCGTGTATTACTGTGTGAGATACACAGTGAGAGGAAGTCAGTGTGAGCCCAGACACAAACCTCCCTGAGGAGACAGCAGGGCTGGGCTGCAGGGAGAGTCCAGGACATCAGGGGGCGCTCAGGACCAGCAAACCCAGGTCCCAGCTCAGAGGCTGTCCCTGGAGGGTTGTGCAGGCTTCCTATTGGGGTCAATGATTTCTTCCCTCCTAGTGTCCCAAGGGCAGTTCCTGCTTCCTTCTTTGTGTCTTGAATTAGATTCTCTGCAGGAAACAAGCAGGAAGTGGCTGTGTGTCAGATCTGGTCGACTTCTCATATGTGCCCTTCCTGTCACCATGTCCCTGATGGTTGCTCTCTGGGTTGACAAGGAAAACATTGTAGGGATTCCCGTCCCCTCACTGAGAGCGAATCCCTCCACCCTCCATGCAGTGCTGAGTGGGGAATACGGAGTCCAGGCCCAAAACTTCACCCGGAATGATCAACCCCTCTCTCTGCCCCAGGAGGAGCCCTTTGGGGCAGTTAGCCGATTGCCTCTCACTGACATGGCTACACATGGAGGTTTAGTGTCTGAACCTTGTGGGCACTGCCCCTTAGTGAGCCTGGCAGGTGGACCCAGCTCCCAGGGTGTCCCGGGACACAGGCCGGAAGGATACCCAGTGACTGGCCCTGTCAGAGCCCTGCTGGGCCCTATTCCCCGTGGGTCTCAGAACCTGGTCCCTGGGGATGGGTCCTAACACCAGTCCCACTTCTCCTGGAGAATCCACCTGCATCCTGAGAACCTGCTGAAGGGAGACATGGTTCCACCCACCTCTGCTGTGGCTCCAGCTCCGCAGACATCACCCCACCCTCACCCTCTGCCCTCTGCCGCCCACACTCTCACCCCATGGGGCCTGCACAGGACATTCTGAGTGGATGTGTCCGCCCTCTCCTTCCTGCCCTGGTAGGTTTTGCCTTAAATGCAGTCCCATGCCATCCCTTCATGCCCATCTCCTGTGCCAGGCCCTCCCTGAGACACCAGGGTTACGGCTACTGAGCCATCCTGATAAACCCACGTGCAGTGCCCATGTGGGATGTCAGGTCCTGGGAACCCCACCTGTGTCAGGTGGAGACACAGCTGAGCACTGAGCTCAGAGCACCTCCAACAGCTCACACCTGGGCTGAGGGAACCTCCAAGGGTGCTGTGAGCTGCAGAGCACTGTGGTGGAGAAATCCATGGCAACTGGGGTCAGAGGGCAGTCAGTGAAGGGCTGGGGCCTGTTCACCTATGGACGTTGCCAACGTCCTGCTTACCAGAGCCCAGTTACAGAGGGAGTTCCGTGAATCCTGAAAGTGCAGGAACAGCCAAGCTATCATGTCTCACAGATTGATTGTCGACCTACGAACCAGAGGTCAAGGTTCAATTCCCAGTCAGGGCACATGTCAGGGATGCGGGAAACATCCCCAGTGTGGGGCATGCAGGGGGCAGCCAACCAATAATTCTCTCTCATCTTTGATGTTTCTGTCTCTCTCTACCTTCCTCACTGAAATCAATTATATTTTTTAAAAATAAATAAATACATAAAAATGTTGCAGATTTGATTCACAGTAGAGTCATATATGGGAGGCAACTGATCAATATTTCTCTCTCACATTAATGTTTCTCTCCTTCTATCTCTCTACTTTACTTTCCCTCTAAAAATGAATGAATATATCCTTGGGTGAGGATAAAGAAAACAATATTTACATCTATACCTTTATGTACATCTACAAATACATCTACATCTTTATCTATAAATTAATGAAAATAGTCTTAGGTGAGGATAAAGAAAAGAAGATCTATCTATGTCTATCTCCATATCTATATCTATATCTATATCTATATCTATATCTATATCTATGTCTAGGTCTAAATCCTCTAAAACAATAATAGCAAATATACTAATTGGACTGGATGTCCTTCTGGACATCCTTCCTGATGCAGCCACAGAGGTAGTGGAGCCGAGCTACTTTCACAAATTTCCTGCATCCGGCCTGTAGTATATCTATAGCCATGGGAGCAGAGGCTGGGATTTTATCCCTAAGGAGTCACTGATTGTGCCCACATCCTACTTCCTGACCACCTTCTGCAGACAAGCCCCTGGTGTGGAAGGAGAGGTCCCTGGGAACCATGACCAGGACCCCAAGGAGGGCCTGGTTCTCTGAGGGCACAGTCAGCACCTCCTTCCAGGAGAAGCCCCAGAGACCAGGACCTCCCTCACCTC